GTTGAGATAAATGTACCATACCAGTAAGGATGGAAGAGGGAGTGTGTGGAAACTCTCCGTGCTACCTGCTTAACTGCTCCAAAGAGTAAAGTCTATTGATCAATTATTTTTTCTTTTCTTGTTTTTATTGTGCTGGGTGGGGGTACATAGTGGCATTTACAGAAGTTCTTACAATATATCAAATGTACCATAGGACAACCTTTCCTGCTCTTTGCATAGTGGGTAGACAAAGCAGCAGAAACAGTCCGTCCTGGAGGCATTTGGCAGAGTTGTAAGAAGGCCAGCATAGAGCCAGGCAGCCTGCATTCACATCCTGGTCCCACCTCTTCCCTGGTTCAGCCTGGGGCAACTTTCTGAACTTCTCTTTGCTCATCTGTGAAATGGGAATCATGGCTGCACCTTTCTAGTGGGCTGGTTATAAGGTTACATGAGTGAATACATATAAAACTCTTACACATGCCATGCTCACTGCAGTCAGTTCTTTTATTCATCCAGAACTTGGTTCTAGAGGACAGAGCAAGTGGCAGTGGGTGGAGGGAGGCAAGGGGTCCTAGCCTCGTGGCCATCTTGCAGCTTCCTTTGTATATGCTGCTCTCCAGACTGAAATGCATTTCTTTTCTACCTGGCCAAAGCTGACTTCTTTGGGAAGTCAAAGTTTCCATGCTACTTTTCTCCAGAACTTGCTCTTTCATAGGTAGCTATGGGCTCTCTCTTTGGCTCTCACGGCATTCTGCATAGGACTCTGGTTCTGCAGGGCTGTTTTCCTGTCTATGTCCCATCTTTGTAGGGCAGGCTGGGATTTAGTTGCCACTGCCCAGTGTCCGACTCATGCTCATCCTTGTAACAAGGCCAGCAATGAAGGGACTCCTCAGGACACAGGGTGCTGCATGGAACTGTGGTCTTTCTTGATGAGAAGTGGTTATGGAAAGCTGGGTGATTCTACCTGATGAGTAGGAGCAGATGAGCAGGTAAATCCCATGACCCCGAGGCCATCCAGCTCAGTGATGGTAGGACAGCCACAGTGTTTCTCCCAGGGTGTGACAGAGCTCCAGCAGGAGAATCACCCACATCTAGCTGATGGGTATTGTTGTTTTGTTGTCCTGTAAAACAGTTTGGCTGAAAATGATTTGGTTTTGCTATATTTATTTATTATTTTTTGAGGCAGAGTCTTGCTTCTGTAGCCCCGGCTGGCCTGGAACTTGTGAGTCTCCTGCCTCGGCCTCTCTAATGCTGGGATTACAGGCGTGCACCACCACACCCAGCTCTTCAACTGCCTTTTAAAGCGTACATTTTGATTTCATGAAGTTACAAATTCAAAACCCTCACTTTTTCCTTTAAGATTTTAACTGGAAAACTGTTATTTTGTTTATGATCCATTTTTACTAAGCATTTTCAAAAGAATCTTTGGTAAATGATTGGTTTCATTAATAAAGCTGAAACTCCTCTGAACATTTCAAACTGCATTAGTAAATTTTATATTTTCAATGTCCATTTCAAGTGTTTCATTTAAGTGGTGCTAAGGTTGTACCAAAAGGGGGAATCCATCAACCAAGATGGGATGGCTAGAGGATTGGTGAGGACACTGCTGCAGTGGACTGAAGCATGCCACCCGTGTTCAGATTACTGGGGTTTTATAATACTAAGGGGAGAGAGGAAGGAGAAAGCTTACTTAGTGACCTTTGGAAGGTCCTATGGAGCTGCCTGTGTTCTTGAAAAACACTGGTAAATAAAGGGAAAGAGTCAAGCTTTGATCCTGCTAATCTTGTGACCTTCCCCACTCAAGCATCAAACGTGAACGGGGTTCTTCTTTAAAGAGAGCTGAGATCTGGTGGATACTGAAGCCGAATGAAGGGCCACCAGCTCAGCAAAGTCCCCAAAGAACTGTTCTCTATGCAGAGATCATTAATGGCTTTGAATGTCACCAAAACATAGACTCCAGGCACCCAGACAGCACATGCCTTCTGATGAAAGCATGCAGCACTACCTGTTATGGGGTTTTACAGAGACAAGAAAGAGGATCTGGCGAGACCTCTACATCCAATTGCTACCAAAAAAATGGAGGAAAATGAAAATGCAGCCACAAGAATACCATGAACAGTTCCCAAAATCTGGGAGACTTAATTAAGAAACTTAATCTGTTTCTTCCATAAAAAATTCAAGAATTAAAAAAAGAAAAAGATGAAGGCAGATCTAGAGAATGCAAGAAATTTAAATCCACATCTACTAATTTCAGAGTCTGACCTTTTCAGATCCTGTTTTGTTCTGTGTGTGTGTATACATGCATGTGCAAAAGTAGGGAGATTTGATGTTGACAAGGTATCTGATGAGGTTGGGAATTAAAACATGACCTGGACAGAAATGTATGTGAGACCCCATCCCAATGGAGAAAAGCTGAATGTGGTGGGAAGTCTAAAATAGGAGAGTCATGGTCTAGGTCGATGCGCGCAGAAAGTGAAACCGTGTCTCCAAAATACCCAGAGCAAAAGGGCTGTTAGAGTGAATTAGGCAGCAGAGCCTAGCAAGAGTGAAGGGTAGAGCCCTGAGTTTAAACTCAAGTACTGCCAAAAAGAAAAAAAAAAAGGAAGGAAGGAAGGAAGGAAGGAAGAAACAAAAGAAAGACACAGGTTTTAGCAGGGCATGGTGGTGCAAGCCTATAATCCAGTTACTTAGGAGGCGGAAGCAGGAGGTTTTCTTTTTCTTTCTTTCTTTTTCTTATTGTACTGGGAGTACATTGTGACATTTACAAAAGTTCTTACAATGTATCTTAAATTCACCCCTTCCATCTTTCTCCTTTATCCCTCCTCTCCCCAGTCCTGGAATAGTTTCAACATGTCTCTTTTTTCCATTTATATACAGGTGTACATGATATTTCTACCATATTCACCCTCTCTTCATATCCTACCCATCCCACTGATACCATTCCCCCTCCCTGAGACAGGACCTGTTTTACCTTCCTGTTCTCCATTTTTATAAAAAAAATGACAGTTTTGTTTGTTTAAGATAGCTATACAGGGCGTTTCATGGTGACATTTCCATGTATGTATGTATTATAACCCGAATTGGTACACCCCCTCCATTTTTCTCCTTTCTATCTTAGTCCCCTTTTTTGAGTTCAAGGTCAGTCCAGGCAAAGTTAGCCAGACCACGTCTCAAGAACACTACAAACAAGAGCCAGGCATATGACTCAAGTGGTCGAGTGCTTGCCTAGCATGCTTGGGGCCTGGGTGGAATCTGAAAAGAATTAAAATAATTTTTGGGTATGATAGTGGTATTGTTGGTTGGCTAAAAAAGAACTTTTTGGGGGAGGATAAGTGGAAATATTTGCATATTAAATTATATGATGTTTAGGATATGCTTCAGATAATCTGGATGGGGAAGAGAGAGGTCAGCAAATACAGAATACAGAGGAATACAGGGGATGTACAGGAAACAAGTTTGACCATGCATGGACACCTGTTGAAGTTGGGTTTATTATACTTGGGTCTCTTTTTTTTTGTATGTTTGAAATTTACCAAAACACTAGTTTTTAAAAAACCACTTTGATTGTCTAACAACCTAGGCCCTCTCTAATATTAGGCAATTCCTATAAAACTATAAATTAAACTTATGTTTCTAAGATTTTAATATTAAATCACAAGTCTAAATTACTTAACTATATGTTTTATTTTATTATTGTGATTATTTTTGCAGTTTTGGGGTTTGAACTCAGGGCCTCATGGCTTCACACTTGCTAGGCAGGCAGGTACTCTATGATTTGAGCCATTCTGCCAGCCCTTAACTATGAATTTTAAAGTAGAACCATGACGTTGTGTATAATTAAAATATCAAACAGGCACAGATTTTTTTCAAATGAAAATTATTCATTTTAAAGATTCATTCTCAAATGATGCTAACCTGTCAAGGAAGCAGCTTAGTAGTCTGGACAAGTTTGTCATTACTTTTCCAAGAAATTGTTGTTCTCAATTGACCAAGGATTTTTAATGATCAGCAAGATGCTTGGCTGAGATGTCAACTGGACCCTTGCCCAGGACACATCTAGAGTGGGGACATATTGAGTTCTTTATGAACTCAACATGAGGTCTGGCAACAGGTCTGTGAGTCGATGTCTGTCATTACCTGGTTTGTCTTAATTCCTGGAACTTTGGAACTTATGTGAAGAGAATAAGTAATGGCTTTGACTGTATCAGTTGATTTTGCATTTCTTTGTGTTTAGAAAGACACATGGCTTTCTGGCTAGCCTTAAGAACATGTAAACTTGAGGGGACTTTCTGGCTTTCTTAGGGTTTTACCTTACTCTACATTGGACATTTTAGTGAAACACACTACCCTAGGACTTGCAGTTCCCTCTAAATCAGTATGAGCCAAACCATGAGTTACAACTCACGAGTGGGCCTCCGTCAGTTTGGTGAGTCACAGTCTGCATTCAGACATAGACTAGAACTGAATGGAAACATCGAAAGGCATTATAAGTTGTCAGAATAAACATTACTTTCACTTGTATGCATTTCAGCGCAGGCACATTTCTTATGGTGAATGACATGGAGGCTTTGTGTCATTTTAAGAGCCAGGGACAAGGGCAGTCCAAGAAGTGACTATGGTGTAAGAGGGAAACCTGAGACAGAGGGTGGCAAGCTCAGAACATCTGCAGGGCAGATGTCTGTAGAACATCCTGCAGCGTGGGCTCCTCAGCCCACCACAATTCTGCCTCAGATACTTCCCACTCCTCCCGGTAGGGGAGAGGCCCAACATCTGGAATGCCACTTGGGTGAACCAAGAGAGAAAATTAGCAGCCCAAATTTGAGGTGGGCGTAGAAAGCTTGGTGCCAAAGTCCATATAACCGAAGGGTTTTTATTTTGACGATTTGAGGTTAAATAATTTTCATGTGGTCACATGGGGGTGATTTTGAAAAGTGAAATCATTATAGAATGCATTTTTTTTAAAAGGAAAGGTACAAGACCTCACATTGAAGTAACGGTTTGCCTGTTTTTTTCTGATATAGGTTTGTTGCATTGACTCCATGGAGAGTGTATCACCTGATTTCCGTCATGATACTCGGACGTGTTATTATGCAAATAATAAAGGATATGGTTTTGTCTAGAACAAGAGGTAAGAACATTTTGATTTAATTTTTATGCATTTAATTTTATATAGTCTGATTTTTCTGTAGGAGTATTAGCCAGTTAATCCTTTGAACAGAAGCAAGGTAATACATCATATAAGCACCGATTTTCTACTTTCAACATAATAACTTATTTATCTGATACCATCTCTGGTCCTAATGGCAGCTACTGGGCAAAAGGTTTATGAGTGCTGGTTTCTCTCGACTTTCAGTGCTATTCCAAGTACCATTTTGATTTTTAAGTAGGCTGTAGTGAGAATAATAGTTAAATATTTGTTACATCCTACAAGATGAAACTAGGCCAGTGTAAAATGGGCTAGTTTATATAAAAATTTTCTCTGCCCCAATGAAGAAAAACAATTTAAAGTAAGTAGTCATATATACTTTTAAAAAATGAGTTGATGAAAATGAGATAATTTTAAACATTAGGTTTAAAAGTGGGAACTTGAATTATCTTAAAATTTGATTATGGTGGTTTTTGAGTAATTAAATTATATTATAAATCTGAGCCAAGCTTTTCCATGGTTGGAGCTACACTTAAACGGGCAAAAGTCCCTCCTGGAAAAAAATTGAGCACCGTGAACCTATATGTACTAAGATAGATTTGATCAAAAATAGCTCTGAGGAGGTTAGAATGGGACCTTTCATTTGGCCACATGTACCCCAAATGGAGGGATAGTTTTTTTGAGGTCCTTGTGGACTGATGTGCATAAGAACTGCTCAGCTTTCTGGCCCAGTTGAGTGACTGAGTCCACTTTGTAGGAGAGGACTTCCTGTGTAATAGTAACTCAAGACCATGGATGTAAGCAGTACAGGTTTGCAGTAATGATATTCTGTGGGTCAGCTTTAGATCTGCTTTATATTTTAAGTCTTTCCAGTTGTTAAAACTAAATCATATGTAAACACGTTTTAGAAAGATTGTTTACATTAGTGTGTTTCCAGGTTTGAGGGTAATTTCTTCATGCTAGCCTTCTGGGAAGGAGAACATGTTTGTTTTTGTCCAATTTTACATTTCATGAATCTGTACAAGCACTTTTTCTTTCCCTCTGTCCTTCCCTCCCCACCTGACTCCTTCAGGTTCACCCCTAACAGGTGACTGCTCTGCCCCTTGCCCCAGGCTGTCTCGAGGTGGGCATCTCATGCCTCAGGATTTTGCCCAGGAGCTCCTTGATTAGTCCACAGGATTCCTATATTCCTGCCTTGGCTCACAATACATAGTGCAGGGCATGTTTTCTTCAAATAGATTTTGTAACATGTTCTCCCCAGGACCACCCTAAGGGGAATCCTAGAAGACATAGGTACATGCAAGTTTTTTTCAGTTAAATAGAGCAAGTTAACGTACAAAGGAAGCTGAGCAATGTAATATTTTAAGTTGTGTATCAGTTTTGCCCCTTGTCTGGGCACAAGTAATGAACAGACAATTGTGGAAGAATAAGGATGAATTTGAAAGTCTCAAAACCCCCAAGGAATTCTGGGCAATAGCAAGGTCTGAATTCAAGTTGGAAGCTTGGATTCTAGTAAATTCTAGAAGCAGTGACTCACCTTTTCATATGCCATGTCTCTAACCACTCTCTGGACCCTAGAGTGGAGAAAATGGATGAAGGTAGGAGGGAGATGTTTGTACACTTGCTTGCCTTACTAAAAAAAGAGAGAAATGAGTGTGGTTGGTGGACAGGGAAACAGACATTTAGAACTTAATAACAGAATCTCTGCAGTCACTGGGCACAGACCAGGTGGGGGCTGAATAGAGGGGGGAAGTCTGGTCAAAGAGAGGGCCAAGGGACAGTATAAATGGCAGGGACTGAACAGGGAATGAGTAAATCAGTCGTCAGTGGAGGGTGGGCAGAGGTACACTGACAACCGACTCTCAGGCTTTGCAGGTGTTGAGCAGACAGCACTTCTGAAGGCTATGGTCAGAGATGAGGCTGCCAGGTAGAGCACTAATCCAAGCCTTGGATAAGCCAAGTAGGAATGACAGTGAGTGCTGGGTACATGAAGGACTAGAGTCCGTGCACCCAGTCCCTACTGGGTCTGCTCTCATTAGAGGTGAGGTGCCGAGCTGTGGCAAAAATGCACTGCAGATTTCACAAGAGGGAAAGTGGAAGAACACAATGGTTGCAAATGCTCCCCAGTAGCTGTGGGGAGCAATGGGGACATGTGTTGGGCCCCCCTCCCAACTTAGAGCTTAAGCAGAGCCTGGGGTGGAAATGACTGGTCTGATTGCCAGCAGGAAGAAGGACAAAGAGGTCAAAGCCAAGTTTAAGGATGCAAGAGGAGTTTTCTACTCTGTAGGATTCCCCAGAGTCTGTATGGAGGAGGTAATGCGGGGATGTTAGTAGGTACAGAAGTTCAGCCATCAAAGATGAACAATTTGAGATCTGCTGTCCAGCCTTGAACATATAGTTCAAAAGCTGTGCACTTGAAAAATTTGGTAAGAATATTTAAAAGATAATAGTGTGTATTTTGTCTGCCCCATTGGACAGTGAAGTACCCCAGGCAGGGACTATGTTAGTGTGTTCCATTGATCATGGTACCTATGTAAGTGTTTTGCATGGAGTAGGGTCTCAGTGAATATTCAGGGGCTGATTACCTGAATTAGTCAGGGTACCTGAAGTATACACTGCCACATTTGATGGTTTCTAGCACTTAAAGATCTACACTGCCACATTTGATGGTTTCTAGCACTTAAAGATCTAGTTATTTCACTTGAAATAGCTCGAAATATTTCTAAGTTGGGAAATGCCATATTAGAGTGACACCTGGATTACCTTTCACATTTCCCTTGTCCCCATTTACAGGTGCACAGTTGTGGAGAAGCCTCAGCGAAAGGTAGGGAACATTCTTTCAGTCCTGGGGCTAATGGAGGCCAGGGTAGGGGAGGTGACTGAGCTGCCAGGATGTATTTTTGAAATCATATTTTAGTGATGGGGACCTGAGCGTTGCCATAATTTACAAGAGTGGAAAAATACAGTGAAACTGAGGGCAAGGATAGAACTGGGGCTTAATCTAGTCATGGTTTGTATTTTACTATAATGTTGGGCAATGTGAATTTGTGAGAGTCATAATGTGTGAGGATTTGGAAGTGAGGAAAGGGAGGAATTTCCTTTCAGACTTCATTTCTGGGGTGTGACTATCGCTTCTGTGGAGAATGGGGCTACACTGAGTCATACAACTCTGCTGGAATGTTCTGGAAGGTTTAGCCATGCTGTGAGTTCAGAGGACTTTGGAGGAGGGTAGAGAAAAAGAATAGGCAAGTCTCTTACATGTGAGGGTGCAGTGACTCTGACAGCCACTTGACCCCTCTCTCCACTGGGGCAACCTCGGCTCTCTTTTCATTTACTGTGCATCTCCACCATGTGGCAAAAGTGCTGTTTTCACGTGGAGGAGAAAACAGCTGGGATGGTGGCTCACCTCACCAACCAAGCATATGAAGAGTAGAAAGAGGAAAACAGCTCAGGATTAATATTCCAGGAAAGTGAATTTTTGGTAGGAATTCATTTTTAAAAACTTCATGCCTTAAAAATATGTCTGTATTATTTTAAAAAGGATGGGGTATTTGGCTTGTGTCAAAATGGACATCACGAAATAAATGTGCAAAGGGAAAATAATGCCTTGAAAAATCCCATGAACAAGATTTGCACTGCCCTCACCCACACTCTTCCCTGCTGTTAGCATCTGGCATTCTGTGCTACACCTGGTCCAATTAATGAAGCAACCATGGGAAAGTTCTTATTAGCTGCAGCCCGTGCTTTGTTCAAGTTCCCTTAGCTCTTACCTAATGTCATTTTCTGGTTCCAGGGTCACACCTAGGATATACCACACTGGATATACCACACCTGCCTCCTTGGGCAGTGGCAGTGGTTCAGATTTTCCTTGTTTGTGTTAATCTTGACAGTTGTGAGGATTCCTAGGCAGGTCCATTATAGGGGGCCATTCTTGACATTTTTGTCATGTTTTTCTCATGATTATAGAGTTATGTGTTTCTAGGAGGAAGAACACTGAGGTAAAGTACCATTTTGTCACATCCTATCAAGGGTACATGTCACTTACATGATCTATGACTGTCTATTTTAACCTTGCCAAAGAGGCATTTCTCAGGTCTCTCAAAATTGGTTCTTTTTTAAGCAGGAGGATTCATTTGGGAAACTGAATGAGGATCAGAAGCCTACTCATGAGAGTATAGCCGGAAGGAGATTTGAGTGTGAAAGATGGCATACTTAAGTCATGTAGGTGGCTCTGGGCAAAGCCAATCCCTGGCTTGGCAGTTGAGATTCTGGGTTCCAGTGTTGCTCAGTGCAATACTGGAGCAGGTGGGCCACCCTGCATAAGTGTCTTAAGCCTTCTGTGCCTGTTTTCTCATTTACCAGGCAAAAAACCAACCAACCAAACAAAACAAAAAAACCAAAAGAACACGGTTTGCTCTCTAACTGTGGTTGGGTGAAAATTAGATCAAGTGAGTTAGTGCAACTTCAAAGGATTGAAAATAAAACATGCCAGGTGCTGGTGGCTCACACTGAAATCCTAGCTACTTGGAAGTCTGAGATCCGAGAGGATTATGGTTCGAGGCCAGCCTGGGCAAATAGTTCTGAGAACCCATCTCCAAAATAACCAGAGCAAAATGGACTGGAGGTGTGGCTCAAGATAGAGAGCCTGCTTTGCAAGTGTGAAGCCCTTGGTTCAAAACTCCAGTCCACCCCAAAAAACAAAAAAAACAGAACACCTGTGCTCTTTGATGCAGAGTTCTTTAGATTTACTGATACTAAGTTTGATCGGTCATTGTCTGTTGCTATGGTATGAATGTAGCCCTTCAAATTCATGTGTTAGAAACGTCATTCCCAAAGCAACAGGGCTGAGAGGTGGGGCCTAAGGAGAGGTGTCTAGGTCAGGGGATGAATGCTGCTTATACAAGTGCTTGAGGCCTGAGTCCCAGCTCTTGCCAGGTGTCTTGCCACAAGATGCACACTGCAAAAAGAAGACCCTCACCAGATGCAGCCCCTCCATCTTGGACTTCCCTGCTTCCAAAACTGTTAAGAAATAACTCTGTGTTCTTATAAATTGCCCCATCTCAGGTATTCTGTGATAGCAGCACAAAAGGTACTGAGATACCTTCCCTTGTTTTCTTGATTCCTCATTGTCCCAAGCCCTTCCGAACAGATCTACCACTTGCACGTGAGGTTTCTGTTGTGTAGGCTTTCTTAATACAGAAGCTGAGGGTGTCTGATAAGGATTTGGAAAGAGTATTGTGAGCACAGCAGAACCAGGGACGCTACTCACAGCCAGGTTTGGTCAGAAAGTGCATCGCTTCTTATTCAATGAATAAAGTATGCCTGCACCTCACAGAAGGTGGATAATGGGACCAGCCTTTCAAGAAAGTCTCCTTTACACCATAGTCCCCTCGTTGTGTATTTAGGTATGAGTAATTTCCATTGTGGTGTCAACCCCTGGTGCCAAGTTCACATCTCTCTGGACCTCAGTTTTCTCATCTGTTTAATAGGAGGTCAGGATGAACTACCTCAGACATCCTGCCCAGCATTACGTGTCTGTGTGTGTATAATTTGGGGAGCTTGTACACTGCTTTCATGGCGTACATTGACCAGTATTTCACTCAAAATGATTTAGTGTACACCAGAAGGAACTCTTGTCTGTATTTGTCCACTGTGATTTTTCAACATGTAAGACCATTCAGGACTCTGGAGATAAGAAACACTTGAGTTCCACCGACGATGGTTTGGTGTATTGCATTATGTACTGTGATTCTTAGCACCTGACACTGGATAGTACTTTACATTTTTAACAGTGGAAAAATTTAAAACACAATGATAAAATGCAGTGACTGAAAAGTAGATCTTTGGAGTCAGAAACAGCAGCTGTGTGGCATCAGGGTCTTTTGACATCCATGCTGTGCTGAGCTCAGAGCCCTCCCCTTGCTGGGCAGTGGCTGGACACTGTCTCTACTACTGTTTGGCCCAAGGGTGGGAGCTCTCAGGTTCATCCTCAGGGTTAGTTTTTCTTCTTTCCAGCACATCTAGGTCAGTTTTCAAGTGTGCACTAGATTGCAAAATACGCTAGGCCTCTTCCTCCCGGGGGTTCATCTGTTCATTTAAGCATCCTTTATCTCACTAGTCTCACTGATAAGAAGCTGGATCAAAGAGTGAGTTGCTCACACTCACAGTGCCACCATGAAGCCTTCAAATGAAAAGGAGTCCCTTCCTCCCCTCTTCCCTGCAGTCCTGATGGCTTGGTATTCCACAGACTGTTATTTGCTCTTTGGGACAAGTTGCTTTTGTCACCTAAACTAAACTTAAAGTATTCAGAATGCAGCACAAAAATGATAGTGTGTGTGTACGTTAAAGCATGGGTTCAGTCTCTCTGGCATTTGAAATTCACAACTACTATGCTGAATTAACGCATAGGGTTAGTTCATAGGGTGTGGCTCCCACTGGTGTCATAAATAAGAACAATTGGACAGTTTTAATCAGATGCCATGCTTAAGGCAGTATATGACCTTATTCCATTTGTAAAATGGAATTCCTATGAACTCATGCTCCTCCTGCTTCAGTCTTCTGAGTGCTGAGATTGGAGGCATGTGCCACCACACCAGGTGTTCATAGATTTTTAAAATTATTTTTCAGTGCCAATTTACTTACAATAAATCTTTTCCATGGCAGCTAAAGTTGGAAATTTGAGCAGTATGGCTGAGCAGTCTTGGATTTTGTGATAGGCAACCCAGGAGTCCGGTGGTTTCCAGCAGTATGTTGTCCCCAACATGTGGGATGGCTTCCCAGTGACACTGTAGGGACGTGCATCTGACAGGCTCACCTGGAGGGCACTCCTGATAAATGGAGTACAAAAATAACAGGGCCATTCTTTCTAGGGCCAGCAGGGATTAGAAGGGAGTCCTGAGGCTTCTGCCTCTAGCATGGTCAGATCGCAGGAGCCCCCATTAACCCATGTCCCGTGCTCTCTCTCTCACACAGGAGAACCAGTGTGTGCCCGGGTTCCTGGGATGAAATGCCCTTTTGTTCTCTGGGCCTCCAGATAAGTGCCAGGCCAGGCATTCTGACTGATTCTGTGTTTGAAGGGGGTGGAGGGAGAAGACTGGAGAATCTTTGATTGTTCAGTCCAAGTCTTGGTGTTGACCCAGCTCGTAGACCCAGAAGGACTGGAGCTTTAAGTGAGGTGTCTAAGACATAAAATTCTGAGGACATTATTAGCCACCACTGAAAGTGAAAAGTTACCAGCATTTACTAAATTGCCTCTGCCGAGAGAGGGGTCTGAGTGAGAAAACTGTGTTATATTCATGGCTAACTTCATATTCTTGATGGAGTTGCAGAGGCTGGGTGGCTGGCTTCCCTTTAAAAAGCTGATAGCTAACAGCTCTAATCTCTCTCCAGAACAGTGTATGTTGAAACTACTATTTCACAGTTTTAGTTTTTTTTTTAATGTGTCTTAAAGGCCCCTGTAATTAGCGCTTTGTAACCTTGGACCTTGTAGAAGTAAGACTTAGACTTGCTACTGAGTCATACTATTTGAAAGCTGTATTTTTTGTTTTTTTGTTTTCTGCTCAGTGTGTATAGACAGGGAGCACATCTCTATGAATTTTCAAAGAAAAATCTTGGTTTGAAGGGTGCATTTGATTAGATTACATGAAAAACTTTTCCTTCCTCAGAAAAAAAGTAGCCCCTGACCTTCAGAATGTGCTGGACCCCTGCGTTAGCCTGGCTGTGCTCAGTGCTTCATTGGCTGCTGAGGCCCAGGCGAGCCGGGAGCTAAGCACCACTCTGCAAGTCTGTTTTCTGCCAAAATAAAAACTCGAATAAGCCTTTCAT